TAATTATCAAAATGTATTATATTAATTTTCTTCTACACCTTAAAAAGAAAAAAGGGCGAAAATGTGAATTGGAAGAAAACCCAAATGGAAGGAGAATATGCTTGCAATTCATATTTGTGGACAAACAAAAGCTCCTCATTTCTAAAGGTCCGGCGAGCCAAATGCTGGTAGTGGGTCCTGCATCACCTCATACATGAGCGTGACTCATCTCTGATCTCTCTGTCCACTCAGGTACGTTGAAATCTGTAAAATGATTTTGACATAATATTTTTATTATTTTTTAATATAATTTTACGTATCATTTAAATAATTAATAATTTTTTTTAAAGATAATAATTAAGAGTTAAGAATTAAAAATTAATATCTTATTCTTGGATAAAATTTGATCACCGATCAAAGTGCGATCTACCAATAGTCCTTTTGAGTTGTAGTTATCACCAATAAACCATAATAAAAAATGTAACTTTTTTATTTATTTATGATACATGATATTAAACATCTTTATCTATTTAATGTAAAAATTATATAAAAAATTAATGTAAAAACCTAGTCTTGATAGTACCTCGCGTTTATCGAACCATGATTGTCCATGTGGCACCCATCCAACGGCTGGATCCCAAATTCGACATCCCACATCATGACAACGTTGTGCTGACGTCTGTATTCATAAACCTGAATCGAAATTCCTTGAGCTCAAGGAAACTTGTGTGCACTTAATAGGCTGCCAACAAACACTACCCTTTTGACCATCCAAAATTTATTCCTCAAAGATCCCGTCTTTACATGAAAGCTTCTACCTTTATATATAGGTTCAAATCCTTGCTCTTATTGCACAAATGCCCATTTTTCCTCTGGTTTTAGTTTGAAGTTGTAATCCTAAAAAAAAAAAAAAAAGGAGAGAGAGAATGCATGGGAGTGAGAGTTGTAGTAGTGGTGCTTTTGAAGAAGCTAGGATGGTGGTGAGGAAGTTCTTGGCTAGGCCACAGCATGAAGGTGCAGGAGCTGTTGTGAGAAGAAGCATAGGCAGGTAAGGGAGGCATTGAATTCTGGGGTTGATTTTGATTGAAATGAATAGAGTTTTGAGGGATTTGGGATGTATGGATTGATGGGGTTGTTTCGTTTTGCAGGTTTGAGTTGAGATACTTTGATCCTTTTCTTGTTTTGGATGAATTCTCAGGTGAGTGTCTCTGTTTTCCTCTGTTTTTTTTTTTTTTTAAATGGAATGTAATGAGATTTTTCTGGGTTTCTTTGTTTTCTGAGTCTTTTTTGATTCTGGGGATTGCAGTTACTGCCCCTGCTGGATTTCCTGATCATCCACATAGAGGTCTGTTGATTTTCCACTGCTTTAAGCTTCTGTTTTCTTGAAGAATTTGTAGAGATTTGACTTGGGTTTGATTGTCATTGTTCTTTTTTTCTGGTAACAGGATTTGAGACAGTCACCTATATGCTGCAGGTACAGTAACTGATAATTCAGAGGACCCAATTTGTGTTTGGCATTTTCACAAACACGATATGACCATACATTTTCCATTTCTATTTTGATTTCTTGAGAAGCAAAAATATATGTAACAGATGGATAGAAAGGCGAGAACCATCCAAGCTAATGGCTTTTCATTTTACTGTATATATGCTAATAATATCTTATGTTTGATGAACTCTACCATAAGGATTATTGGGTCGCACTCCTCAATGAGAAGGGGTGGCGCTCACTTTCATTTAGGGTCGAATCTCCCATTTCTAACAAACAACTAACCTAACCTATTACCTATTACTCTTATAAAAAAATATCTTATGTTTGATGAACTCTACCATACGGAGTATTGGGTCGCACTCCTTAATGAGAAGGGGTGGCGCTCACCTTCATCTGAGGGTCGAATCTCTAATTTCTAACAAACAAGTAACCTAACTTACTACCTATTACTCTTATCAAAAAAATATCTTATGTTTGATGGGGTCAAATTGATGTGATTGTTTAACTGTAAAGAAAGTAACATATGGTTAACACTCAATAGACAGCCGGCCATGCCCAATAAGGAATGCACCTGCACCATAAATTATATGATTGTGTAAAAATCACAAAGGATAGTAGAAACAAACCTTGACTTTGTAATATGTGATTTGAATTTTAGGAGTTTTGAATTGATTCTGTATGACATGTATACTTACTTTGGTTTGCCCATAATTGTTTGATTCGTTAGGGAGCTGTTACACATGAAGACTTTGAAGGGCATAAGGGCACTATAGGGCCCGGTGACCTCCAATGGATGACTGCAGGAAGAGGAATTGTTCATTCAGAAATGCCTGCGGCACAAGGAACCCAAAAGGGTCTACAGCTGTGGATTAATCTCTCCTCCAAACATAAAATGTAAGTTTTTCAGCGGAGAGACAGTATCACGTTTTATTGACTAATTGGTGCCATTACAAATTAATATTGTGTGATAATGACAAAGTCAACATAGGTTAGCTTGAGTTATTTTGGGACTTTGGATTTCTGGAATAGAATATTCATCACCATGGATCCTTTTGTGTAAAAGTGCCTTCAAATGCAGCTCGCACATTTTGTGGTGCATGCATATATCTTGCCTGGTGAGGCCAGCCTTTCACCATGTGCCTTTCTTTTGAACCCCATTTGGAAGAAGGAATCTTGAAATGATTATGACGTCCCTAATGCTTATCTACTAGTTTTGTACATGTCAAAAATCCTGTCAACTTTAATGAGGGAATTCAGATTTGGCTTAATTATTCCTGACATTGTTTCATCCACAGGATTGAACCAAGGTATCAAGAGATATTGAGCAAGAACATTGCAGAAGCAACAGAAGGTGGAATCAAGGTTAGAGTCATAGCTGGCGAGGCACTGGGGATAAAGTCACCAATCTACACTAGGACCCCAACAATGTATCTTGATTTCACCCTCAAATCTGGAGCTCACCTTCAGCAACCAATACCAGTATCCTGGAATGCGTTTGTTTATGTCTTGGAAGGTGAAGGTGTCTTTGGCAGTTCAAAATCTCAACCGGTAACCGCACACCATATTCTCCTTCTGGGATCTGGAAATGGTTTGGAGGCATGGAACAAATCCTCTAAACCGCTGAGGTTCATTCTGGTTGGAGGTGAACCACTAGGAGAGCCTTTAGTGCAGGTTGGACCATTTGTGATGAACACTCAAGAAGAGATTGATCAAACAGTAGATGATTTTGAGAATTTCACTAATGGATTTGAGAAAGCCAGGCACTGGAGATCTGGAGCTGCTACTGGCGTTGAATTTTGATTCTTGTCTCATTTAAAACTTCTGAGAAAATCAGAAATGAAGATTTTTAAGGTCCTTATCACTACATTTAGAGACCCTTTTTTATAATCTAGAAAGTAAAAAGGCACCTTTGAATGTGAGGTGTGACCTCTCATCCTTGTTATTGAGAACTATCTTAAATTTAAGGGTTAATTTATTGTAGTCTGAAATAGTACAGACCACATTAAACATTTCTGACATGATATGATGAGCCATCCTCATTTAAGGCTTAGTTTGTTGTATTCGGCATAGTACAGGCTGCATTAAATATTTCTGCTGCATTTAAAATTGAAGAATTTATTATGCTTGAGTTGGTTATGATCTTTGTACAATCCTAGACCCACATGCCCCATGTGCCCCACTGTCATCATGCATTTGATCCACATTAGAATTAAAAATAGGGAAAAAACATGGACAAAAACACTAAAAGAAAAGTAA